GGCGAAACGTTTGGGAATGTACCAAGTCCACGGTTCAACTTTGGAAATGATCATGCAGACAATGGACTCCAGACTAGGTGAGTTTCTCTAAGTCTTCCTACCAATATGACCATGTTGCGAAAACAAGGTCAAACAACCTCTATACAACGAAAGGCCACACCATCTTGGTCTTAATACCTTCGAGGAACTACTTTTCCTTGATTGCTAGATATGAGAGGGTGTTGAGCCGCCATCCAAAAGGCGATTCAACTTGTCCGCTCAGTGATGGTTCTAATTTCACTCAAAGTCGTCAAACGTTAGATTAAGCTCATCAACCAAACCAGACGTGGCATATTATGCAGCCCGTCATGCCTTTCCTTGGGGTGTTAAACGTTGATGACCCTAGACTGAGGTTATGAAAAGTGGTTTCATAACTTGACTTACGTGCTGATAGGCGCATATCTCATTTTCTCAACCATACTTGCTTACGGACTTACGCACTCTCGGTCAGGGCTTTCTCTTGGGTAATTAGGCCTTGATGCTCGGAGCCTGACACTAGCCTTTTGATCACTCTGATTTAAACCCGGTATTGCGTATAGACGCTAGCACACATGCGCATACTCGACCAAAAGTAGCAGGACCAGTATGAAAGATAATTAGCCAAAACACACTATATCTATCTAGTTTTTTTTAATTTTGCTTAATTGAGTCTATATAAGAGGTAAGATAGAGTCGGATAGTTTTCTTGCCCTAGTCTTAACGTGAGACTTATCCAAGAATGTGACCCAGCTCTTTAGATGTCCATCAAATGACGAACGAAAGCACAGCCCGTTTTCACCCGAAACGAGGGAGGTCTCGTGAACTGCGTCAACCTGAACGTCATATAAAAGCCAAACGGCTGCAGTACAACGGGATTCATCCGTTCTCTTCTGGTGAGATCGACCTAGAAATCTCTTTTTCATGAACTTTCATATGAAATGAAAACCCCGAAACAATATCAATTTTTGGTTTTAAAATCTACTCTTTCTGTATATAGTGCATATTCATGGTAATCTTATTTAAGATATATACAATTGACTTAGTCATCAAGATTGTTCGTATGTATTTGACAAATTGATTATATCGATTCAAGAGCCAAAAATAGGTTTTATCCCAGCTCACATTGCCCTCCCACACTAGTGATGAAATCTTAAGTCTACAATGCCTTCAGAACATAACAATGATCCCATACCAAAGCAGTAATATTTACAAATTATCAAGATGGTTATATGCAATAGCACACAATATTGCACGAGTAGATGGGCAATGACGCAGGAAATATGTCCTTGAATGAATGATTTCCTGTGCAAAATTTATTTTAAAAATAAGTCACGCCATACAACAAATTATACGCATTGAAATAAATAGAGTTAAATCATTAGATCTGCGTGCTTGAAGTCCCTCTATTTTGCGTAGACTTGATGTGTACTCGTTTCAAGAGCAGAGCCGTGTTGACTCGGAGAGTTCAAAGATCGAACGCCGCATAACGCCCTCTGATCTCATAATTCTGTGCTCTTCTATATCGGATCGTCGGACAGAATATACTAAGTACTGAGACTTTGACGATGCTGCTTGATTACTAAAAGTTCTGGCTGGGCAATAAGGTTCTCCAATAGTCCAGCCAGCCTAGTCTCAGGCATCTAATATACAGGTACATTCTAGTAAATGATACTATGGTGGAAGAGCATAAGAATACATAAGCAAGCTACGTGGTTGGATGGCAATGCTTCGGAGTTTCCTCACCAACACGAATGAGATGCAAAAAAGTTCTTATTCAGTACAAATGCCTTTGAGTTACTAATTAAGAGAATCATAAAAAGTTGAGAATAATGTTCAACTAATGCTTAAATCTCTTTGGCTCAAAGGGCGCTCATCGGAAATAAGCAATGTTCAGACTAAGAAGGCAAAAAATATAAAATAAACCAGCGAACTGTAACTTTTCTGGAAAAAATGCCAGAAACCGCTGGGATTTAAATTCACATCCTGGAATGTAGATATGAATAGTACAAAAAGCAAGAGTCTATGATTAGAAGGTGAATGCAAGAAGTGATACAATTTATTGGCTTGAGGATAATTGATACAATAGAATTATGCACAACTGTGCATGCCTTTAAATAGGTTGTGACACCAAGAGAAAATGAAAGTATTGAGGTGAATACTGAAAGCCCCGAATAAAAGCTGCCTCATCAAATATTCTATGGTTTATTAGTAGCAGGAACTCCGACAGGTCCATATTGGCTGAATACATTAGTCATAATGAACATCGCTACATCTGTATTTGACCAATATGAGGTGTGCGAAGTGAGCAGGGAAACATAGAAGTTTTCATAACGACTTTCACGCAGCTGAAAGTCCAACCGATGCTCAAGCTCTGGCTGATCAGTCAAAAAGCGGCCAGGAGTTCCAAAGACCAGTTTTCTGCCAGTATTCTTAGGCTTTCTTTCTATGAGATTATTCGGCTTTCCGAAGGAGGCGTGCTGCTGAGGCTCTGCAGAGAGGGAGTGCGGAGATGGCGCATCTGAAGGGCTTGAAGTTAAAGCAAAGGCAAAGTCTATAAAAGGTGAATAAAGAGTTGAGTCTTTCAAGGCACCACTTTGTTCGTTGTTTGTGCAGATTAAACGCCCTTTGACCTCCTGGGAATCCGAAGAGGGCGTAAACTGTTCAAGAGAGTCAGATGCCTGAGCTGGTGAGACAGAGAATGAGGGAGAAGTTATGGTCGAAACTGAAGGCAGCGTGAAAGAGGAGCGAGAAGAAATCTGATCGGAGCCAGTCTCACTATCATCCGAAGAGACGGCAGAAACGCGAGAAAAAAGGCCGTAGACAAAATCTGTGTTTGTGATAAGTTAAAAATAAAAAAGGAAAATTTAGCAGATATTCGTAATGAGGTCCTTATATAAAATTTATATTCTAAAAATAAGCATTAAAAATAATTGTATGTATATGGACCCGTATACAGCTAGTCTTAGGCGCCTCTACACCCAGTTTCAGTATAAGCTCTGTCTGAGCCTTAGCCTAAGACTAGTCGAACAACTGACAATTTTGGATGCCCACCTCAGGTCAGCATTACATTGCCTTTCCAGGTGCTCCCTATGACTACCCCAGAAGCCACACATGCTATGCACAAGTTTGAGTAGAACAAGCATTCCAAAATGTGAGTTTAGCGGGGTTTTGATTTCGTTTATGGGGAGTGGAGGGGATTCGTAAATTGGCCACAACGGAAATTGAAGAAGTGCCTCCCAGTTGTGACTGTAGCCTTGTGCGAATAAGTTCTCGACGCACCATCCCGCGATCCCGATGGATCTATGGTGAACTTTTGTTCACCTCGTCGTGGCAGACATCGATAGGACAGGGCACCGAGCTTTCCGAATACAAGAAAGATAACCAATTGTAACCCTATCTAATTCGTATGGCCTAACTTTATCCATCTTCTTGAAACACCTCGTGATTAAGTTGTCTATCCTACGCTTTTCTTACATGCTTGCAGAACAGTGAAATGGCTGCGGATTGCAGTTAAAGTGGCTGCAGATGGCGCATAGATTGGATACAAATGTATCTAGACAGCTGCATCCTCGGCCAAAACACTTTTATTTTTTATTTAGCAATTTTGGCGCATGAAAAGTGAGCTGTGTACATGCACTATTCATGAGTTGTGTAAGGTGTGAGAATGCTAGCAGATTTGAGGCTAATCAAGACTTCCCTTCTTGCTTGAAGGTATTTGTTCCATTTTCTTCTCTCTTTCTCTCTTTCTAATTCTATCCAACAACAACGAATAGTTTCTGCTTAAGTTCACATTGAATTTAGTGCATTTGCTGATTCGATTCTAATAGACTCCCTACTCTTAAAATCATTGTTATAATCTTCGTTTTCTATTAAATGTCTATCTGGTCACCTGTGTGAATCATGTGTTAGGCCATTTCAGATTTTCATTAATTTTTATAGTCATTTTACAACTCAGACATGGTACTCAAACTTCGACCAAAATACCCTCTTTTATGAGCCCAGAGGGAGCTAAACAGAACGCCTTGAATATACCAGCCAACAGTATAACGACAAGTACATCGAATAATTTTGCACAGGTTTTTCAGCGCAACATCTACATCGTTTCTCACAAGACTAATTAAATTTCTGAAAAAAATATCCGCAAATGCAATTCGCCATTTGGATTGCTAGGTAGACTTTCATTTCGAATGAAAGTGCATGCTGTAGAGATTCGTTGGTTGGTCTCACCGGAAGATGACGGCCGATTCCCTTTGTTTTGCAGCCGTTTGGCTTTAATACGACGTTTATCTTGACGTATTTCACGATACATCCTCCTTCTGTTCGGATGAAATCGGACTCAACTTTCATCCATAATATGATGGACACCATAAGAGCTGGAAATTATTCTTGCAAAAGTCTCAAGTTAAAATTAGGTTGAGAAGACTGTTTATAAGTGGGTTTCAAGTAGATCTAATATAAAAACTCTATTCGCCCTATTTTGTTTAAGGTGATGAAGAATAGATTGCTGAATTTTTCCACAA